TAGTAACAAGAAGCTACTAGTAACAAGTGCATCGCTTCTAGTAACAAGTGCCTTACTGGTAGTAACAAGAAGCTAGTAGTTAATTTAATTCTAATAGCTTTTTGGTTACTAGTAGTAAGGCACTTGTTACTACTAGCGAGGCACTTGTTACTACTAGCGAGACACTTGTTACTACTAGTAACAAGAAGCTACTAGGAGCATTGACGTCCACCGCAACAAGTTCTGACGGCAAGACACGACTCAAGACGGTCAACTGCAGCGACCTTCAAAGCTGTGTCTCTGGTCTGGAACACGTTCGACTGACAATCGCCCGAAGGTTTGGCTGGTCTTTGCAGTGTTTGTGCACCTGGAGTACTTACATGACATTTGCACATCAATGTAAGTGGAGCCTCTTTGCTGGTCGCGGTCGGCTGACTTCGGCTTGTTGCTTCACACAGCTTGCCGCACAAGGCACACCTTCACCCTAGTAGCGTCCTTGCTCCTAGTAGCGATGCCAGGAGCCCCTAGTAGCGTTCTTGTTACTACTAGTAAGGCACTTGTTACTAAGCGATGCACTTGTTACTAGTAGCGTCCTTGCTCCTAGTAGCAATGCTTTTATCATTTACTTTCTGTGGGGCACTGGGAGCCAGTCGATCAGCCAAGTTCGTGTCTAGACTCGGTCCAACCTGGCCTCAAGAAGTGTCACCAACAGCCCCACGTGGAACATAGTCAGTGGCTTGCCTAGTAACAAGTGCATCGCTACCCTCAAGAAAGTGCCGCAAATCAACCGCAACCATGATCCAAGCGTCGCCGGGCTCACACACTCGTAGGCTATTTGGTCTTCAAGGCTATTGAAGGCTTGTAAGTTACGGCACAACAATTGCACCTCAAATTGTGAAGACAGACAGAGAGAGAGAGAGAGAGGACGGCTTCTTGAGCAGACAAGTCCCAAGCCTCAACGACCTTGTTCACAGCGCATAGGGAATCGCAATCGCAGTCACGAGCCAGGCACAAATTGAGTAAGAAACTACAGCCCCTTTACACACATTAAAAAATCTATCAGAAGCTCATTATGCTCTCTGTGCGGGTAGTCGCACGAACACTTTGTAAAAGTATGGTAAGAGTCTTCTAAGAGCATGGACGAGTGTCGACGTCAGAACCAATCAGAAGGCCAGCAACTTGGGCGATTTAATCAGGTTGCCACCAATTAAATCATCCACATCATGTCGAACACCACTCCCACTTCCTATCAACTTCTCTTGGGATACTTTCATCCGGAACCGAGATATGAACACATGGACGCTGCCGAGCGCACATCACGCACGCTTACCTCCAAGGACCTGCCAAGGGGCAAACCAGGCAGCCACCCTCACCAACACTGCTCGCACACTGAGAATGTTGGCAATATCTGTTTGCAAACCTAAGATGTTTTGCCGCATCTGTCAAGCTGTGGTGAGGTAGTCACCATGACTCAAGGAAATGCTTGAGCAGCAACAATGAACAAACAGGCTTTATTCATAGATTCATAGCCAACATTCCCTAAAACTTTGGGCTCCCCAAGCCAAGATGCAGTTTTGACTTCACAATGTCACTAGCTTGTGATATTCACATGGCTTTGAGGCTCCACTGCAATACGAAACCTGTAGTCTTTACAGGGAAAAACAAAAATCCCCAACCCCTTTAATCTTGTTTTGCTCGGTTGGAGCCCATCGCTCTTAGGTTGGAGGCCGTCGCTAGTAGGTTGGAGGCCATCGCTCTTAGGTTGTTGGAGGCTTAATCGTGCTGACTTTGAGCTTTCAAGTACCATACCCCACCAACTCATCCAAGGCTCGGCAGCACTTTGGCATGCTTGCAGGTATACTGCGAAAGAGAAACAGCATCGCAGACCACAGCAGTAGCACGGCCAAATCTATTCGATGGTCGTTGTCTTTCAAATTCGCAACCGTGATTTGAGACAAGGGTGGGGCACATGTATAGTACCCAGTGCCCAATAGGCACACAAGAAGAAGAGGACACGCTAGTAGAACGGTGCCTTGCGCCGTGCGAGGTGCAAAAACGTTTGAAAAAGGGCAAAGCGTTGGTGCAATTGCGGGCATTTTCAGAGGCTAGTACTAGAGTAGATGGGGAAAATATTCAAACCCCTGAATCAGATACTGTCACACCCCCCTTACTTCCAAAGTTCAATGTTAAATGCGACTTCCTTCAATTCACCTTGCCAAGGCTTGATTTGATTGTCCATTTGCGCAAACACTCTGGCAGGCACAACACTGAAATTTGGGGCGTTTTATCTATCTATATATATATATTGTGTGTGTTTATTTATATATGTGTGTGTTTGTGTAAATGTTTGATTTATGTGTATATATATATGTAGCACGCATATGTAAATATACATATGTATATACATGTATTGTGCACTTTTGTTTACATAATTTGACATGCCTTTAGATCTGTTGAAATATATCGTTGTATGTTTACATACACTTCAACACCGCTAACCAGGGGGGCGCAGCTTGGCGCTATCCCGAGATTGTTCGTAAAGGGTTTTTCTTCAATAGGCAGATTCAAGCACTACGCACGGTTAACACTAGACATACACCGGTGTATAAACGCGAGAACTGACATCACCACGAGATTCACTATATAACAGAATAAAGTTTGAACGCGAGAGTATCAATACAAGAGTCGGAACATGAAGTATGAACATGGACATGCGTGTTGATCAAGCCTTGTCTTCAGCTCCTGTAGACCCTTTGCAGCCTGAGGTAAGCTAAGAGTGCAGCAAACAACTGTGATCCCCGCGAGTACTCTAAACGTTAAAACAAACACGTAATATATATCTATATAACTAGATATACATGCAAATGTAAATACATAGTGTATGTGTATTTAAATGTATAAATATACGTGTGTGTGTATATATGACATATGTGTTTGTATATGTATAGACGCATACGTGCGTATATGTATGTACTTGTATCTATTTCTCTTTTAAAAAGGTTTCTCAACATTCATCAATGTTTCTTCATCATTTTTGCAAGTACGTAACTCTATATATATAATATATAATTTACATTTATCACATGCATCAACGCTGCTAACCAGGCCTGGCTTCGGAGTCACCACGCTTTCCCCGAAACCATTCGCGCAGGGGGGTTCTTCACGGCAGATTCAAACATGAGATGTCTCTTTACACGGTCTCCTGACGCTAGCCAGACATACACCGGTGTATCAAAATGATGACATCACCACGAGTCACGAGAGTAATTAACATAATAGATTTTGAACGCGAGAGTATTAGCACAAAAGAGTACGAACGCAAAAGGGAGTCTGAACATGGGAGTGTGAACACGAGAGTAGCAAGGCAAGTGCATTTACACGAGAGTATAAGTGTGTGTGCACTTGTGCATATGCTTCTATCATTGCAAACTCTTAAACTGCATGTGTCTAAATGTGCATTTGTGTAGGTACATGTATGGATATACGTTTACGAAACACTCGTAAATGTGCATGTGCGCACAGACGCTTGAAAATATACCTATGTGCCATATGAACTTAACTCGGACCACACTGGTTTGCTTGTGGTCCTCAATTTGTTTGAAAGGTGTCCCCTCAAATGATATAAAAAGCAACCCGCCGCCAGCCCGCGAGCCCGCGCCGAGCCCGCGCCGAGCCCAGGCTGAGCCCGCAGCCAACCCGCAAGTGGGCCCGCAAGTTGACCCTCACACGGTTCCCTATTGGTTGGAGGCCATCGCTCTGAGGGTGGAGGCCATTGCTTCTCTTGCCAGTATGGCACGAGTTACAGCTGGCGACCTTGAGGAGTACCAGGTTGGACGCTACCACGCGAGGACCCGGAGTAGCAGGAGTGGACTGCAACATCCTTTGCGAAGACTTCCAAAATGATCGAAACTGCTGATGAAACACAACAGCGCCCAAGGCCATAGCAAGAATGGAACTTATCACTGTGACCTGGGCACTCCAGATTCTAGGTGAATAATAAAGGAAGGCAAAGTTCTCCTCTGCTGAGATCCAGCTTACGTTGAGTCTCTGGCCGTGGCCGACCATGTTTCCCATGACCACAGTGGCATAGGTCGCAACCCCCTCGCTGATGCTTTCAGGCAACTCGCAGGAGAAGCGGTTGTGGTGAAAGGTTGCTTTCGCAGGCTCGCCGTTTTGACATGTCTTGCACAGGTCCGGGCAGTTCCTATAGATGATCTGCGTTGAAAAAAAAAACTAGAACAAGAAGGCGGAATGGGAAACACTGTCCATGGTCTGCAAAGAAATGCAAAGCAATGCAAAGCAAACCCCAAACCCATCCTTTTGACCAACTCCATCTCTTCAGCTGAAAGGAGCTTCTGACTTTGCGCTTCATCCTGCGAAGCAGACGGTGAAGCCTGCAGCGGGCTGCAATCGGTTTCGTTTCCCGGAGATTGCCGGGGTCGGAGTATCAGACGCAAGACACTACAGCCAAATCCACGGACGTTCATCTTGTCGTTGTCGATACACGGTGAAGTGAGCTTCAAAGGGCCGATCGCACCATCCAGAGAGTTCTCATGTAAAGTCAAAACGGCGAGATGGCTCAAATTTTGCAGCGATTCTGGGACTGCACCGGACAAGTCATTGCGATGCAGAGCCAAGACCACCAGCTGAGTGGCATTGATGGCTGGAATGCGACCATGTAGACGGTTGTTGTTCAAGGAGAGATGCTTCAAACTGTTCAACTGCATCAGGCATGCCTGGTCAGCGTGAAACCGACCAACCATCAGGCCTAAGAAGTCCCAACGTGGCTCAGTTACCTAATTGCGGCAATAGCGATGGCCTCCAACTTAATAGCGATGGTGACGGTTATGTTCGCAAAAACATAAACAAATTGCCCAGATGCGGGAATCTTCCCCGTGAAAGAGTTGTGGTTCAGCCGCAGCCCCTGTAAGCCTGTTCTCTTCTCTCTCGCTGCTTCAGCACTCTTCTTTCTCCTCTTCCTTTTTCTGAATCGTCGATTTTTCGTTGCTCTTTTCTTTCCTCTTCTCCTTCCTTTCTCTCCATCTGCTACGTTTTCTCGTTTGCGTTGCTTCGCTTCCCCTTTCGTGCAAAAGGCTTCAGTCCAAGTGAGGTTGCCTATGAAGTTGTTGCGGCTCAGATCAACCTTGGGCTAAGCGACAAGCGAGGAAATGTCGCGGCCAAATGGAACACTCTTGTTACGAATGGAGCAAAGGGCATCGCTACTAGGAGCAAGGACGCTACTAGGGGCTCCTGGCCGTACTACTAGGAGCAAGGGCCTTACTACTAGTAACAAGAAGCTAGTAGAAACAAGAATTAGTAAATGATCTCAGGTTCTCACCTGTTCGGTTCCAGGCTGCATTGCCGGCAGCTCTCCACTCAGTAAGTTGCGACTGAGGTCCAACGTCTGCAAGTGAAGCAACTTGGTGAAGTTCACGGATATCCTATGAGGAGGCCATCCCTACAAGGTTGGAGGCCATCGCTACTAGGGTGGAGGCCATCCCTACAAGGTTGGAGGCCATCGCTACTAGGGTGGAGGCCATCCCTACAAGGTTGGAGGCCATCGCTACTAGGGTGGAGGCCATCCCTACAAGGTTGGAGGCCATCGCTACTAGGGTGGAGGCCATCCCTACTGGGGTGGAGGCCATCGCTACTAGGGTGGAGGCCACCCCTACTGTGGAGGCCATCCCTACAAGGTTGGAGGCCATCGCTCTAGGGTGGAGGCCATCGCTACTAGGGTGGAGGCCATCCCTACAAGGTTGGAGGCCATCCCTACAAGGTTGGAGGCCATCGCTACTAGGTTGGAGGCCATCGCTACTAGGGTGGAGGCCATCCCTACAAGGTTGGAGGCCATCGCTACTAGTTTGGAGGCCATCGCTACTACTTTCGAGGCCATCGCTACTAGGGTGGAGGCCATCCCTACAAGGTTGGAGGCCATGGCTAGGGTGGAAGCCATCCCTACAAGGTTGGAGGCCATCGCTACTAGGGTGGAGGCCATCCCT